CATAGACAAATTATGCTTTAACGTACAGGTATATAAGTGAGGCATATTATACGTTTATAAGAAACGCAGTACGATTTTTAAGATCGAAGATTAAGTATAACTTTTTCTTTATGTTTTTTAATTCGTTTTTTTTATTTGTTTGTAAATTTTTACATATCTTGGCCCATATTACATCATGTAGGTACATAAGTATAGCCCCTTTATAAATTAGAGATTTTAATAGAGTAGATGTGTCCATTAATTTATTACCTGCAAATTATCGTTTAACGTTCTCTATTTGCGAGGTGATATTTTATTATCTGAAGACTTCCGTTGTACATTATAACAAGCCCTTAGCCAATTTTTCTTATACTGTATTATTAATTGTATAATTATACAATAATTTTTCTTGTTCTACAAATATAGTGTCAGGGACAAATAGGGCGCGGTGGGTGCGCCTCTTTGTTTTAACAATTACTTTTAATCACTTTTGTTCACGAAACTTTACTTTAATTAAAATAAAACAATAACTAGTAGTTCTTGTTACTATAATTTTATGTTAACTATTCAATTTTAAGTTTTGCTTGGGAACTTTTCATAGAAAATTACAAGGTCCTAGAATTTAAATAAATATTGTTCTTAACGGGTTTTTTTTTAGTTTCAGTGATTGGGACTACATAAATCGAAGGCCACATAAATGACTTGGTACAGCATTTTTTGTTAGAATTAAGTTCTTCATAATTTTTCAACAAAGTCACATCTATATTTAAACTTTTAATATATAAAGCAAAGATTTGATTATTTGATTCCATTGATTAGGCTCTAACCCTACTGAACTATTTGAAAAAAAAAACACCATTGGAATTCTACATTATTCCTGATGAACATAGTCTATAGAATATTGTCAAAAAAATTAGAAATCTGTATGATCTCGATAATGTAACCCAAGATGGAATGGGGTCTGAAGTCGGGCCTGACGCTAGTAGTGTCTAATGATAATTAAGCTAAGTATCAAAGAGAAGAAGTATGACGAGCTGACCGCCAACCTCCAGAAGTGGAGAGAAACTACAAGAAGAAGAAGATCAAAGAGAAAAGTTTTTACTAAATTTCAATCCTATATTATTCTTAAGGTTGATACAGTGGAAATTTTATATTTTTGCAAAAACGTATAGGTTGATTAATACAATTATCTCATTAATTGGTTATTTAAATGAAAATTTTGACTATTTACGAAATTATTGAATTGTTCAATAGATTTTAATGGTATTGTTGAAGTGAAAAAAAGTAGTGTTACAACCCTTGGACTTGGCCTCACATTTCTGCATCTGTTCCTTAATTCTAAAATCTTTATAGACAGCTAGGTGATCCTTCTGTCACTCGCCGTCAATTAGGGCTTAATCATGCCGATTTCTGCATGTATTACGTGGTGTATCTATAATGCAAATATAATATCATCTTACTAGCATAGTTAAAATTTCCTTGAAGATTTAACTATATTTATCTTTTTTTCTTCTGAATTTGTCATCTCCATCAAAGTTTGGCGATCACCATGGCTATTTAAACTTACTACCAATTTACAAATTATATTTTTGACACATATCTTAGACTATATCAAAATTAAAATGTATAGAAAACAAAAAATTTAAAACGTGAAGTCGCCTAACAACCCAATGGGTTGAACTGTCATATTATAGGTGACCTGACTTGGAGGTCTTTGTTATACGAATTCAAAACCTCCTTAAAGCCTGGCAACAGATCCACATGGATGTCCATGGGTTGGTGCCTTTTAGGGCTGTTATGTTGGTTCCTGTCATTTTTTGAACCCGATATATATTACCCAGAATGAAATCCAAAGAGGATTATAGGTAGTACATTTTAATGTTACAATATCAAGGAATAAATCAAGGCAAATACAGTATAAGATATATCTTATTTACCTGTTCTAACAAAACTCAGTACAAAATCATCATAGACTACAAATGTTTGAGCAAGGTAAAGCAATCATGTGGGTGAATGAACCGAAAAATTAGGCGCGGTCTAGGAATTAGGACTTGTTTTATAACTTCAATGTTACCAGTTATTTAATTAATTTTCGATTGAGCATGTTATAAATTATGCCAATTTAGCGTTTAAGAGCATAAATATGTACAAGAAGGATTTTTTTGTTTATATTTAAAATTTAATTACTAAGTTTAAACTATTTATATCATTCAATTCGTTCAATTTATTAAACATTTAGATTGACCTGATAGAATGTTAAATTGCAAAATACATTAAATTTATATATGTATTTTGCATTAAATTTATACATTTTTATTTGAACGGTAAATAACTGTTCAAATTGCTTTAAAAAATAAATAAATATAAAACATGATTTCTGTATTCGAACAACAAATATGGTTCCAAATGCCTCCCTAAAAACACCCAACCTATTTAGGCTTATTAGGCTATAGTATAGTTTTTTACTGAGTTTTGTCTATGCACTTTGGTCGTATTATAATAGTCTGTATTACAATGAAGTCAAAGCAACGTCATTAAAACTGAGTCGCGAGTCGGCAGTACGGATACGTCATTATGGGGGCGTGGTTTTGGCGACCAATAAAACTAGACCGGTTATGATGAATTAGATTGCTTAGTGGTGCTTTCAGACTTATATGTTGGTCATATTTGGTCACACTGAAACACAAGTTAAATATGTCTATTATAAATTGTATACATATAACTATAGCCTGGAAAAAAAAACATTAGGTGTGCCTACCATTCTAGGGAAAAATGTTTTTTTCTGGTAAAATATATCACTAAGATTTAATTAAGATTAGATCCCATGACTTAAATCGTATATCTAATATATAAAAGTCTCGTGTCACAATGTTCGTTCCCATACTCCTCCGAAACGGTTCGACTCGAATAAGTCTGAGAATCGGCTACTATCTATTTTTCAAACCCCTAAAAGTTAAGGCTGGTCCACCCCTAAATGTTAAGGGTCTTAACTTTTATTTTTTAGATTAATTTTTTTTTCATATAGTATACAAAATTACATACAACCCTTAATTTTCTCCCCTCTACGATCAAAATAGGGGTTGATTTTTTGTTAATTAAAATCTTATGACTTGAACTCTGAGGTTTATATAGAGAAAAATTCACAGAAAGACCAAAACAGTTTTCATTCCAGAAAACCGATCAGTCTCTGGGATATATAGCAAAATGTTCCATTTTAGTATGTACCTACTAAAAAGGTAGGCTAAGTGAAATCGCATTAAGGAGAAACGAAGTTCGCGGGGGCAGCTAGTCAATCTATAACATTTTATCAAAATTATTGTCAAACTCGTATGATTTCACTGTTGGTATATTTATTCTGTACTTGTTAACAAATAACACTAAAATACCAATACTCAAATAATTACTTGGAAACTAATGGTCATACAACAAGCACCTGAACAATCAATACAATTTTACTAGGCCGTAAGCGTCAAAAAAATATACCTTATCTGGAGTGAACCCACCGTAAAGTCACCTCGCGACGGCCCAAGCCGAGGTACCAATGTCGCAGAAGACGCCCTTGCGCTAGTCGCGGAAAAAGACCATTCGGCCGAGCTTTCATTCCAAAAAAAAACCGTAAAATAAATAGTACCAACACTGTTATTAGGATCCGAATTATGTATGTGTCAATGGTATAGGATTGGAAATCTGAAATTACAAATTACATTTTATTACAAAACTCACTTGCTATACAAATAAATTTAAAACGGTGCTGCAAGCTGAAGTTGTAAGCAACCGTTTTCTTGTTAGATTATCCTGAAGGTAATATTCACAGTTGAGATGGAGCGCGAACTCCCGTAATGACAAGATCCTGAATTCTAGAGTGAAGAAATGGAAGTTCCCTACTTCCATTTCTTCACACAGAAAATGACAAAAACATCTTCCATTATCACTAAAACTACGTCGCGTGATATAATTATTCAAGTACTCAGTTTGAAAATTGAAATTGTACGTTGTCGTTGGGTATTATTATCATTAAGTTTGCAATCTTACCCTTATACATTTATCACTCCATCAATCCAGTGCCCACCTGCCGGAGATTTAAAAAATTACCATACGCATGGCGCGATAACGACAAAACATCTGACAGTTGATACATGACATAAATGAAGACCTTTCTAAAATCACGGAGAAAACAATTGTTGTCAAGAGCGAAGTAACAACGAATTGTTATTTTTTAATTAATACTATATTTATGTGTGTAGAATATAGGTATGTTTCATAAGATATTTCAGAATCGTTTTGCTATTGAGGTGAGTAACAAGTACTAGGTACCTAGAGAATTTCATAAAATTTTGCATCCTTAACCAAATTATATCTTACTATTCGTACCGATGGGTATATTATAAATCTGTATTCAAAGTTATAGGTATACTAATTATTTAATAAATTAAACTTAACGTTGACTAGAAATGTTATTTTAATAATGATTCTACTTGAAATTTTAATTTACACTAGTATTTAAAAAAACAAAAGACGTATGCTAAGTAAGAAGCTGCGTAGCGATCCGGGTTTAAGTTTTTACTATGAGCACGTGGCCGATGGCAGAGATCAGCAAAAGACGGCTGTTTTCCGTGTATTTTCTGGTTGAGAGCTCTTCGAGGGGGGCGCAGCGTGCGGGCAGGGCGGGGAAACAAACGGCAGATGCGCCGCGCAGCGCCATCTAGCGTCGCCGCGCTGCCGCCAGGTGTGCGCTGCCCGCACCGAGCCGCCACCCGCCCTTCAGTCCGCTGTCACGCACCGTCGCGATCACACGTTATTACGGCTGCTCAACGTCGGCCACACGCGCGTATTTTGAACGTAGTGCACGATACACCGTGACCGGTTGTACCGTGGATGAACGCGACCAGTGACACCTTTAGTGCTGTGTGACTTAGTGAAACTCAGTGCAGACATGTGCCAGTAATGGATTACTCTGCCGTCGTTTACTGACGGGCCCAGGATCCCGTATATGCCCAGGCGCCGGTAGAGGACGCGCCAATATGCGCGCCCCCACGGTGCTCCTAGCCCTGCTAGGGTTTCTGCCCCAGGTACTGGACATTGATATCGCAAACCGCGAAATCCCTGTTTGTTTACAATTCGCGTAATCGAGACTAGTGCGAAGCGAATGTAGGTTCTAGGCTGTTTGTTAGGAATTAGAAGTGGAGGCCGCGCGACACTCACTTTCCCACGATTGTAGCGTCCGAGGCACCTAGATCGTCCTGGATAGAGGGTGTAGGTTAGCTGAGTCGTGACCGGGCCTAAGCGAGCCGGACCAAGTGGTTGTGTGTGTTCAATACGTTTACCGAGCAAACATGGGTGCATAGTTAAGAAAGTTCAGGTTTTAATACGGCCAGCGCGGGGTCACGAGCTTCTTCGTTTAAAATTAGATGCATACCAAGACTTATGTCTTGAAAAAGGACTAATCGTTCGACGCGAATAACTCGCTATCGAACTTCGAGTAGGTACATAACGTGTATTTTAGGGTTTAGTAGGTATCTAGAGGTTAATGTTTATTAAGTGTTATATGATTATAGCCGTCCTCGAAAAAACTTCTTGTAATTTCGATAGAAACTAGGTTAACTGAAAAAAATAGGTGAGAGAATTATTCAGTGTATTTTGTTTTGAGGTCATTGTCCTAAAACGGTCAAGGTTGGCACAGAGGGATGTTCTCAGCTGAAAATATTTTCACATTTTATAATAATCAGCCATTTCTAATACTAATTCGAATAACACGTATATTCATAAGCGCATAGCGTTTCGTTAGCTAATCGTCCAATTAAAATTATGTTATGAAATTACTAACGTAATAAGTGAATATATGCCTTGTTTGGTTAATAAAACTTAAGTCCAAATAGATTGAACTAATCGACAGAGTGTTTATTTGTCTAACGTAAGCAACTCAAGTTAAACTTTGAAAAACATCGACATAAACATTACCCAATTATTTTAACGTACTAAATGCCAACGGCAAAAAAATCGATAAACTCCCCTATTTTATACTCGTTTATAATAATGGCCTAGCTGGTATCAACCCCTACTTGCGTCTGCGCATAAGTTGCCTATTAATCGTAAAATGCGAATTTGTACCGTTATTACTAACACAAGCATATTTTATTCACAATGTGTGTATCTCCGGTCATTTCAGTTTTTTTTATTAAGCTCCATTAATTTTAGTAATAATTTAAAGCCGAATACCTTTAGAGGCAATAAAGTAATTAATTAAAACAACTTTGTGACAATCTCTAGCGTATTACTTTAGCTGACATTTTTACTTATTTAATATCCTTAATCCTTATATACAATAACGTGCCTATATATATGTAACAAAAGTATACGAGATAAAACTACAGCGTTAAAATTATGAATGAAATATGGAGTCGGGATAAAAACGGTGTTTGCAACTGGTTTCTTTACTGGCTCTGCGGATGTCACAATAATTGTTGAAACTCGATCAGGATGCTCGCGGGCACCGATTAAAAGAAAATCGATTCTTTTGAATCGTGCAATAATCGCGTGATCGATATAATCGGAAGCCGCATCGGAAACGTCTGCCCAAAACCGCAACCGAATAGCAATTTCCATTTTATAATATTCACCTCGGGTCAAATAAAAAAAGCCGTAATTGCCAGCTCTTAATATGTTTAGTATTTATGGGTTTGCAACATTGCTGTATTAATCTATATCTAGGACATACTTGTCGTGAACGAGTGATATAATCGATTTATTTTGATACTTGTTTGTACCACATTGCAGGCAGGTGCAGTGGCTACTCACTGCTACTCTTAATACCATCTGCTTTTTTTATACGACGAATTCAAATTACGACGCGGTCGATTAAAGTTCATTTTGGGGGTCTTAATCGTTAAGTTAATTGGCACCTTTATATAATCGTAACATACTTTTAATATCCAAAACTTAAAATGTCACGCCTTCAAAAACAATACAAGACCTTAAAAGCTAAATCCTCTAAATAATGTTTGTGGCTTATAAAATAAGGCATGTCTTAATACAGCTCGGAACTCCATAGAAAATTCCCTTTTTATTGCTACTTATGGATGAATTGCGACCACTTATTTCATGAATAGCTCGTTCACATGTTTTGCCAAATCAAACTGTCCAATTTGAGTTTCGAAATTTCCCTAAAATTGTTCACAAACGGACAATAACAATTAATCATATATGTCATGTAAGCAATAAGCATTTAAGTATGTGAATCGTAACCCTGTTATAATTTGGCCTATTGTCCAAAGCTTTTTGTTCTATGAGAACCGACTCAATTACAATACGAAATACGTATAATCGTCGGTTTTTAACATCTTAACTATGTGAAAGCTGTATTTCGTCTCATTGTCCGATGAGCACGTAATACACTCATTAAAATTTAAGTTAAACGCTTATCAGGATTCACGAAAAATTAAGTACTCTATGGACGCAATCGCAATTAAAAATTATCTATTTAATAAGATCTGGATTGCTCAGAGCACTTGATAATTTCTAAACAAACAGCTTAGTGGTCTTGGTATATTTAGGTAGCTTAAAAGCTTGTTATAAATGACTTGCTTTCAAGCTAATGTCAAATTAAATTGAACCATATTCTATCACTGTTCTTTAACAATTACTGACAAATGACACAAGTCACGCTCTATTGTAAGCTTTCTTTCATCTTTAAATAATTTAATTCAGTTTTTTGTACCTCTGGACGTATAATTGATTCCGACGTGTAAAAAACTAAGATGGCCGCCAGGAATCAGGACCATTGATCAGATTACATGTCGCCAAACTGGATGGTATTATGTATTATTTATAAAGAAACATAGCTGAGACTTTATTGCGAAACGGGGATTGAAGTAATTAGCTAATTAGGTTATCTGTGCAATTTGACATTATGGTAGCTAAAACACGAAAAGATTTTTATGAAACAATTTTATACGTAATTAAATTATGTACGAGAACAATAATTATTGGTTACGAAATATGGAGTTATTAAATAACGCCTAAGGTCTCATTGTTTAGAACTGCGTGAATTATTTATACCCAAAATGGGTAAATGTGTCAAATGGCAACACATTACGCAACGCTTCAGGCAGTGTACAGATGAGTTTGTGTGGGTTTCAAGTTGAGGTCAAAATATGCCAACTATCACTTAACAGTGACAATACTTGTTTCTTCATTACTAAGTACACTAGTATGCTTGACACTGTTTAAAGCGCTAATTAATATGGCTTTGTTTGTTTAACGAGTTTCATTCAAAAACCTACACGAAGATGCACAATAGTCAGAAATGTCGTGTCGCGTTGTGTAAAATGCAAGCAATTTTCAGTCTAATTGGCATTGCCATAACGAACTATATAAATATAGCAATATATCCTAACACTTTTAAAACCATTATAAAGCAATTTTAATAGTATTCTCACACCATTTCAATAATCGGTACCGCACTCAGAACACCAACGCACAAGAATTGCTTGTGCAACTTAACCGCAAAATACCTTATGCTTTCCATATACGTGCAATCTAGAAGTCTATTACACTCATTTCTCCGTTAATTTCCAATGTTAGATTGTAATTTTCTACACTCTGCAGCTGGCAAGACGAACAAAGAAATGACTTTTGTCGTATGTCGATTTTAAGAACGTTTTGTTAAGATTGTCCCTTTGTGCAATCATTGTTATGGGTGAAACCTTTGTTAGGGTTTACTCAAAGACGTTAAGAATTATTGCATAGAATATTGCGGTAAATTACCAACTAAAGGTATCTATTTTGAATAACGAACAGCTGGTTTTAATAATATTGCCAGGCATAAAATACCATACGTAATAAAACATTCAGGATTATCTATGCATAGTTTTATTTTTAATTCTTTATTCAAATTGTGACCGCCTTTTTTAGTCAAAGACAAAATCAGCCAGACAAATGCATATTTTGCATCGGCCACAACGTTGCGCTAATAAAAGACTTTTGGTGTTTATTTTAACACATTTCGCGTAACGACTGAGATGAAAAACATTCCCCTGTGTTTCATTATTTGAGTTATTTTTAGACTTCAACCTGCCGAGTGGTGTTTACACTGTACTTATTCGAGTTATTACGAAGATACGTTTTAATAACACAAATAATCTTAATGTAATAAAGTTATTATTGTTTGATTAAAGTTTTGTTGTTTCTATAAATTTGATGATGTTAGCTATACACTCTGTTACTATTTGAATACATATCCTGGTAAATAACTATAAATGTAGAAGTAAATAAATTTGTTTATATAACAAAAACAATAAATAATTTTGACACGTAATTTTGTGTGAAATATTTACTTAATTAAAACAATTTAAATTAATGTAAAGTGTTTTATCAAAGGTTCTATTACCCAAATCAATTTGTGTTGATGGCCTGCGCCGGCGCAATTAATGTTACGTGTCCAAAAAAACAATATTGATCACGACTTACATGCATTAACTTAAAATTTATTCAAGGCAATGATACAATCGTAGGAATTTTTGTAAATCGTCTTTAACCTATGAACTTAGATTAATGCGGGTCTTAAATATGGTAATATCATTTGATAATATGCAAACTAATCCTGTTAATAGGTAGTAGAATTTGTACTCTATTATAAAGACAAAGACTGAACAACTTTGATCCGTAACAATTGTTTATTTTTTAGAATTGTGTCTAATTAGTAACAAAAGTGTTTAATGTAAAATATGCTTAAAAATTAAAAAATGAGGATTAGTCACATTCTAAACTAAATAAAAACGTTTTCTCTTTTTAATATTAGAGTAGATTTACTAAATACACGTTAGAACACATCAATCAAAGGTTCATCGCGTTAAATCGCTTGAGGATATGAAATAAAGCTTATTCGGTAGTAAGTAGTTTTTAATTGTCAATTTGTGGTGCGCCGCGGGCAGACGCCTGCGCATACTTTTAAATGAGTAATATTTAAGTTTTTACATTTATGCTACAAAAGTCGTAAATTGAAGTTTTAAACCAATTACTTAAAATCGGTAGACCACAGCTACTATCTAATAAACAAGTTAAAGAATGGGATGTTTAGAGTAGCAGTTTTTATGTAAATTTTTTTCTGCTCCTACCTGGCGTTTACCACGTGGATGTGAAAGTTTCTCTCCTCTACTTTATCCATATGAAAGAGAGGGACGGAACGTTAACAAACCCCTATGGCAGGATGTTGAAGAATCTGGTGTATTTTTTCACCCTTTGTTTAATCTGTATTTCTTTCATAGATAAGGTTCAGTGAATGGAACATAGTATACAACTTATCACAAACTAGACCTAGAGAATCGTCAAAATTTATGAGCTCTATTCAGTAATTAAGTTTTCATATCGTGGGAAAGTCGATTGTTTTCTTTAGTAGCTTATAATCATTAAATTTTAACTGTTCCATAATTAAAATTGTATAAAAACTTTATTTATGCTTTGATTGTCGTCATAAACTATAGAACGAAAGTACAGGAAGCTTTTTTACAAGGGACTTCCCCTGTAATGATTCGCAAAGACAGCCGTAATACTGGCCACTTCCTTCCGATACCTTATAATTACCGGGATTTATATTACCTTAAACGTCTATATTTTCTTCAATATTTGGTAAAATCCAATATGATGTGTTATATTTATATATATGTAGTTTATATTATAACAATGTTCTTGATTCAAAAGAGCAGTTCAATACATTCTATATTTAAAATGTTTTCTGTACTTAATTCTTAATGAAATACAAAAAAACACTAGATAAGTTACAGTGCAAATGCAAGGTGGTGATGTTATTCCCTATTCGTAATATGTTGCTCATACTAGTTAATCCCACATGCATAGACAACTGCGCATTCTTTCAAAGGGGTTGCTACCCTTGGCCAGTGCTATTATTATAACACAAAAAAAACTATCTGTCGTCAATCGATTATACACAAAAAATCTCGCTTAAAACTACGCTGGAGGTATTTACTTGTTTCGTCTATCATCGAAGTTAATTATAATAAACTAGCGATGGGTCGCACGCCTATAACTCAAATAATATGAAACCTTTCGATTCACATCCCAATTATGATAGAAACGTAAAACATCAAAATTGTTGACGTTTTAGTTAAGTAAAAAAAAACAAATTTTATCTATAATTTAGTTTCTTTTATTGTCTTTGGTACAAAAAGTTTTCGAAATTTGAATCAAGTTAGGGTTGTTACCCCTGGCATTAGGCTCTCGACCCCATTAAGTCCAGTAAAACCGTTAATGTCTCAACGGGATCGATCATATGGACAGTTGTGCAAATAATTTGTTTTTAGAATTTAACTTTGACGTTGACAGATCTATGTTTGCCATTTGTGTTGTCTATGGAATACCAGAAAAATAAACTTATAATTTTACTAGACAAACGTTTATTCATAGCTTTTAGTCTTCAATAGTTTTAGCTAATTATAACAAATATTGCCTACACTTCATAAACATTTTGTCTGTACTAACGTGTTTTTTTTTCTTTATTTCAGGTGCTGTCATCTGGTTCTTTCGAGCTTAGGATAAAAAGTTTCACGAACTCATTGGGTAGATTAAGTAGTGGCCAGTGCTGTGATGGTTCCTCAAATAGTGATGCGCCTTGTTTGGCGCCGTGCAGGACTAAATTTCGTGTGTGCCTCAAGATATATCAAGCTAATATCGATACGACATCACCGTGTACTTTCGGTGACATCACTACACCTGTTTTGGGTGGGAACTCTTTGGATGTTCCCAACCTTAACGTACAAGGGTTCAGCAATCCCATCGTGTTCCCTTTTGACTTCACGTGGCCGGTAAGATTTTATTATATTAATAGCTTATAAAACTGATGCATTATGAATACAGAGTAAACATATTAATCTGGGTTAAAGCTTTGCCACACCAAATATCATGGCCGTATTGTAAAATCAATACGTCATTAGAGAAGCATTAAGTAGCTTTGTATTCATAAATCAAATCCGTTCGATGTTCAAATTCCAATTCTGTAATTCTAGTAACATGACTAAAATTAAAAAAAGAGATTCCATATTCAAATTTGACAGATGCAATGATAAGAATAATACTCTATGGTTTATCGGGTGTCCGTGTGGGCTTAGTTAATGAATCGTATTGGTGATGTATGTTATTAAGTATTATTTAGCCTTCACTGCATGTTCTCATCGATTAAGGCTTCAATCGTGATTCAATATTGTAATTACCTGTTCCGAGATCACGCTCAAATTCAAGGATTAATTGTATTACAGTTATTTCAAATTGTCTATACTTAACATGGTCGTGTCACTTCGTGTGTTGTTTGCTTTTTATTTAGCGGCTTCAAATGTTCCGTCTCGTAATGTTTGAGCAAACACCAAGCTCTGACCATCTGGAGAACGTGACATTTGGTCAGGTAAAGACTACAGCTATAAGTTTGGGATGCCATAGAGTAGGATCATTTTTTTGGCGGTAGTGCGTCCGGTATCCATATGAATTGGCGCTAAATTGAAACTTCCTCTTTAATTTCACATTCTATTGTTGACATGCGATCAATTGAGCGAAAGCGACGCAGAGTAATCCCTGTCTATCGAATTTCGGTGACAGGTTAAGCTGAAACCCAAAGACCCATGTGGTATTTGATAGGAATATGAAAATTAAACATCCCATATGTTATCACATATGCGTGTATCAGAATTTGACGTCGACAATGGCATCTGTCAGCCTAGCGTTATCCTTAGATTAAACAGCCCAAGCATCTATAACTTTGTAAAATCCACCGTTATTTTTCATAAAAATATTTTATTTAAAATTAGAATCGAATTCAATTTTCGTTGATGAAAGCTTCATTAATGACTTTTAAATTTCGAATTATCGAGAGGCGTGTCATGGCCGGCCAGACATCACAATATTTTGAAACACGATGCCATGACGTCGTCATGGTAACGGTGCCGCTCAGGTTACCCGGGAAGAAGTTAGCCACCGTTAGCGTTTATATCTCCGTATATTACCTTACAAAGATTTGACCCTACGATAATAGGTCAAATTATTAATTTGACTGACAGTAGGATTATGAGAAGGAATATGGACTATTCATCATGCATTTAGGCCCACTCATTTGTATGCAGCATCGTTAGGCGGGGTTCTTTAAAAAGTTCGTTTTACACGACTTTATATTGTTTAACCGGCCCGTTAGCTCCGGATATGACGAGACCGGATTATGTCGCACTTACACGTTAAACATGTTCGAAATTTGAATTTATATTTACGTATGAGATAAAATTATTAATTATCTACTGAGAAAAACGTATATTTTAGAAATGGTTTATTTTTAAGCTTTTAAATTTAAATTATTTTTTTTTAAAAAGGCTTCGTATTTCATATAATGGTTGCATATGAATCCATTCATATGCGGGGACCGTTACATTTACTGCGAAAAAAACGTTCAATTGCATGCATATTTTTATGGCAACACCTGCGTCCGTGCTATGTGCGAGAGAGATAGGTATATCGCGAAAATGTCAGAGTTTACTTCCGCGCATGCGCGTACAAGAGGCTCATTTACACAAACCTATCTGACCGTGAACTATACTTTTTATGAAAGATCCGTATTGCGTTAGATCACAGTCTTATCTTTATAAATTGTCTAAATCATTCAACGCAAAAACATTAAAACAATAACTTTATTTTTTTAATTTGAAACTAAGGATTAAATTTTTCACTAGAGTAGCTAAACAAAACATTATTATAACTGTATCTGGGATTATTTTGGCGAGTCACTTTCCCACAAAGCTAAAGTTCGACCCACATTGCCTACAATAACATTACCATGTATTTAATTTTTCCGTTCACTCATTCTGTATTTGAAACACAGCCTTACGGTCGTCTTTAGTTATATTTTTTATTTATTGTAAACTGTTTAACCGATTTCTAGGGAAATATAAATTAGCATTGTCATTTCATTTCTAATTATTCACTGGCAACATTATCACCGGAAGGAACGGTGACAACATGGCGGTTTTATCAGTTTGAAGCGTGAGACATTTTCTTAATTAAGGTTAATTATATCATAGAAGTGAGCTTTTTATTCATTTGTGTATTTATTACTGAAATTTACATAATTTTAATACGAAGTTGTATACTTAACTTATTCCCTGTGTAAACTAAAATATTGATATCTGCAATTTAAAAAAAACACTATTAATTTAATTGCAATTATTAACAAACCAGCCATTTTAAAATAAAATAAAAATAAAAATTTGTCTAGTTATTCTATAATCTATGAATTATTTTAACGTAACAATTCACAAATAAAAACGGTGACCTTTATGGTTACATTACCATAGATAATAGATTAGTATGAAGCTTATGTATGAAGAAACACGTTTAATGCATATAGACTAAGCAACAGCGTAACTAATTCTAGAGATTGTTAGTTATTTTGCATGTTTCGTCAATAGTTTCACGCTCTGAATGTTTGAAAAAATTTCAATGAAAGTGTGGTGTCTCGGGTTTGATGTGTCGACATTCATTTCTTAATTTATCATGCAAATTATTTTTGTCTGAATAATATAAACTGAACTAACTTCAGTGTATTTCGACATTTTAAAATTAATTAAAAGTTTTGTTCACGGCGAGTTTCATAGAAATTAACGTTTCATGACGTCACATAACGCTTAAACAATACCTAGAAATAACATAATCTGTGACAATACGGTACAATGACGTTTAACCATTGTGATGCGTGTGAGTGCAACATTTCTATCCTAGCGGCATTTCTATTGGAAAGCAATTAACACTTCATGCTTAATCTGTATATACAAGGATGCTATTGGCGATTTTCAAACTTTACATACTAGCAACACACCTCTGCACTATATACTAGTACTGTATACAAAATATACGCAAAGCGTTTGTATTAGGTTCACAGTAACGCGATACGGTACGAGGTATAGCCGGTGTAACTTCCGTCTATGAAGTTTTTATCCCAAGAGCTCTTAATAATTTCCTTTATCTCAATCCGCTCGCGTCGCTCTCTTAAAATACTTACCCCTACATCCGCTTCTTTTAATAATCTTCCGAAGCTATGGAATGCGATCGCTCCCTCTTCGACGTCTTTTATCTCTTTCCAGCGAAGCAATTAAACTTGGACAAAAAGATTGCGAAATTCCACATAAGAGTAGCCCAAGCACAGTCGCAACTCAATTTCATAAGTAACAAATTTAATTAATCGGAGCATGTATAATTGCTCGTTGCATTGTTCGAAGCCGAACAGGTTTCCGACCCATCAATTAGTGATTTTGACGTACGCCTAAATAAACTTGCGAACAAAAGCGGTCCACTCGAGGTGTCTGCTAAAATAACAAATCTCGTTGCAGATTAGGACACATAAATAATGATTAATCATCGGAGCTTAAGAAAATAACCTCATCAAGACAGTGAATAGACAAAAAGTTTTACCGGTCTTGTTATTACGCGGCGTCTGACGTTAAGACTCCTTTTTCAAATGAACGCTCGTTTACTGCCACTTTCTGACATTAACTACGTCTCTAACATTTATGGCTGCCAATAAAATTGTTCAAAAAGCCCGATTTATAATCTAACCTAGACTAGACATTTTTTGTAGAAACACCGTGTTGAAATGTAATAAACAAAACTCGGGTTGGGTTTGCTACGAGTGACCTGATTTGTAAGAATGATACTTGGACCGGTATAGCGTTATTGATTAACAGTGTTCCAAATTTAAAATAGTTTTTCTTGTCTACATTCCGATTTTATTGGTTTCGAGCGGGCGTCTGGATGCTTTCTCACGTACAATAAGGGCGCGGATAGCCCTCAAATCTGCAATGATAAAATTCCATACGTTCCAGTCTTTATTCATCACACGCGCGCAGTTTCTAGGAATTCTGTGTAGCAATGTGAGTGGCTCACATGCCCAGCGTATCCGCGACCGCGCAAAGTGTAGCCATTATTTAGTATGGGAGGTGGTGTGGCACTTTACGTCATACTGTTCACGGATTTATGTTTGTGTCAAAGGCCATTTGGAATGATCATCACAAATTAATCTTTTGATATACTTTTATAACATCGTTAAACATCCTTTAAACTCATTCTGAGAAAACGTAAACACGTCTGCGGTAAATTAACTCCATTCAAACAATCGGTTTATTTATCTTGTCTATGAATACATATTCTAGTTCCATCTACAAATTGGCTTAGTTACTCATCGGATTTATTTAAATGGCAGTGGATTGCAAAATGTCTTAGAAAAAAATAAGATACGAATCAAAAGAATCATGTCCAAACTTGTATTGAACGTCATTGAAATCCGGCTGAAGATGAGGTTCGGTTTCAACACAACCTGTCTTATCTTTACATCAGGCTGACATCTCCCGAAATTTGTTAACTATGCTTTGTTTTATTCTTTTTAATTCAAATCACTTCGTTGTTTATGGCCAACATTTTCATTTTTGGAATTCCTTTAGTTACCGTCCGTCTGCGAAATGCCGGTGAGGCCATGTGAAAATAAATTTATTTCTTTTTCAGTTTGCCCCTAAAGCTCCAAATTCCTTGGATTTCGTCTTTTTCGTGATAATTGTAATTGAGGACGATATATTGTCATACCGGTATACCGTTGGGGCCGTTATATTACGTATTTCATGCCTAGTCTCACAAAATTGTCACACATTTTGTTTGAATTACGGCTGGCTTTCCAAGTTTTTAATGTTATACTTTATAGTGAGCTGTGGTAATTAATTCTTTCGTAATGAGCCGTTTAATATTTCTTTTTGGTTATTATAATGTTTACTTTGTCGTTTGTGGTTGTGAGCTTTATAGCTGCGATAATGGTTGTTTCGTTATTGGCGTGTGAAATTTTTAACGGACTAATTTAATTACTGAGTTTAATGCAACAATAACGCTCATCTTATTATTTTCTCGGGCGAAGCATGAAACGTGATTCTCCAATTTGGCTAATTGATTCTATATTAATATAGCAATTTTCCATTAGGATATCTTAAATTTATTCGTGTAAAAATAAAAGATATGGAACGCTTTTGAACACTTTATTTAAAATAAATCATTAAGTACCAAATACCGAAGCTTGCAGAGCGGCTTATCATCCGTTGATTTAAATGTTTCTTTTTAAAATTTACGATTCCATTAGTCAATTCCATTTTCGTACCGATGGACAAAGAGGATTTTATGCTAACGATTTGAATTTAGAACAGCAACGGCTTATCTCACGGCAAGACCTCATTGAAAACACTCTTTTGTCTATACCTACATAGCTATACAAGTATAATCCGACCATTTTAATCTCATCGGATCTAAAGAGCAGTGCTCTATGTGAGAGGTGTTTTCAAATGATTCGTGTACACGTATATGAAATAGACTCGGTTGACGGTACTGCGGCGCATTACCACGAAACTGCTTAGCATTCCAACAGAATGTACGGTCGCCAATAAAATGCCGACCTGGTTTTTATATGATAATATTTGTACATTAAATCTCACGTTCACACGGTACATTAACTATATATAATACAAATTATCCCCAATGTTTAAGGATCTAATAAGATTAAGCTATGAATCACCGGGTCAATGATCTATACAATCGTTGATGCCAAAATAGAATGAGATAAACTTAATTAAAAGCATTAATAATTTGGATTATACGCTTTAATACTTCACGCTACGTTCTGTGGCAGACATTGAGATTTGCATATCTTTTAATTTGACGTATTCGAAAACACTCGGCCACATATCAACCGAGCGAAACGAGCTAAAAACTAGTTTCGTTGCATAATCGCCTTTATTCCTGTCCACAAAGCGTTCAATCCGTGATGCGTGTCGGGATGGAGCTAAGTAAAAAAACCTGTCTCGAACAAGACGATGTTACCACACTAGTGAAGTGTGAAATATGAAATCACGACTCCACTTGGCTGGCTGTTTGTTCCAAATAACTATATTCTCGTGTTGAAACTGGAAAACGAATGCCCTTTATATTCAACATTCGCACCATAGATACTAAACACTTATCGTAAAACTTTATGGAACAATTAGTTAAATACGAAACATCTGTGGCAATTTCTAATTTTACAAACAATACCTACTAACAATGGTTCGGACACGTGCACCAAAGATGTGCCCGAACGGCAAATCCTCACCTGATTATCTTTTGTAATTGAAAGACAACTGACAATTTGTTAGGATAAGAACGAAGCCCGTTCCCCGTTCCCACGTAACCTTCGTTTCTTTAATTACAAAAAGCCGTAATGGGAGCACCCTCATAAAACGATTATCAAATAATACAACCGCCTTCAGTTATCATCTAGTAATATAATTTAACGCGAAGGGATAGTAACAGCGTCGTTACGGTACGATCTCACGATATTTTGTTCTGCCTTTTCTTTTGAAATGTTTAATTAGGAACTCGGAGCATGAGCATAGAAAGTTCTATGATAATCTGTGAAAGTTTCACTTTATGTTTATAATTCATTCAAGTGTTCGAATTTCAAATCAGTAATTTATAAATCGTCCTAGCAATGCAATGCTACCTGGTAAAAGGTACACTCGTTGACTTTTTATGACTAGCGTCGAGTCACCGCGTCGTGGGAACTCGCCCGCGACCACAGCTGACCGAAATGCCTCCTTATTCGATTAACAAATCGACACATACCATATTCGACACAAACAAATATTCGCGCACTGTTTCGCAACGTGAGAAGGGAAGCAACAAAATTCGTGAGACCATTAGTATTCAGCCGCATCATAACACGTCCGTTCGTATTAAACAGCTCTTAATATTCGTCAAACCCTGATCGAAAGCTTTAATTGCGCGAATAAAAACACATAGTCGATCTTGCGATGTTGGGAAAATGATTTCTACTATTGATTTTCATCTGACAATGCGTTCACAAGACATATACGTATCAGTTCCTATGCAAATGGTTCATTGTTAGCTCCTAATGCAAATTATGTTTTCATTCATCAAGCTAATTGACAACGGGGTACATCTGTCACATCTGAATCACTCCTTAAGTTCGTGTGGTGATCTTATAAAACGGTGACCCTGTACATCCGTGGCAGCTGCAAGGCTTATGACGTGTGTATGGCATCTAATTGCATTCTGGTCCGGTGCCCATCTCGGCTCCATCTTTGTTAGGGCCGTTGATACGACGGCTGATTACATTATTGATACGACCCATTTCCAATTTTGAATATTTACTTTGCCATTATCGATGTGTAAGTCGAACTCGTTTATAGTCTTAAGAATGTAGCGCGCGTCTGCGAGCAATTATACATTGCAAGGCTAAAGATGGATAGATTACAAAGATATTTCATGCTGATGTAATTTATAAATAATACTTAGCAAAAAGTATCGCACCGATACCTACCGAGGGGTGACTATCAATTAAGTGTATAAAGAACTGTTAAAGGTCAAACGTTGTATCGGCACGATGCGATGTTTATGGTAAAGAACCGGTTTTCATGAAATGTCTTATGCCATAACTGAGAGACATTTTCGCATGAAACCAACTCAAACTGTAGCCATAAAGAGACGATAAGGTCCAGGCGCCTACGAGCTGTTGACTCCTGTTATCAGTGATAATCGTTTTTGGACTGCCGTTTCGCCTCCTTGTGTAAACATCGACAAATGTCAATAGCTGACTATCTGATACGCACCCGTTTTTTACCATCGCACGGAAACATTACCCGATTCCATATTGGGTTCTTTAAGTAGCAGCAGTCGTATTACGCGTCGTGTATTTTTAGCTCGAATAAAACAATTCAGCCATCTGCTCCGGCTTCACCTGTCTATCGTGATGTTAATTTACACTCATCCACCATGCAGCGCGACATAGCGACGTCATAAAGTAGAGGAAATATTTGAAATGTTCAAGCGGCGCGCCCGTTTTTAAAGGTCTTCGGATGGCAGGGTATCTGTGCATCTCGGTTTAGGCGACGTTTGAAACATTGAAATAGCATTACGTTAGCCCGCATCGCTTCTTTGTTTTTAGTTTTATCTATAAGTGTATTTATTCCGATGTTGTAACCGTCTTTTGTGTTTCAGGGCACCTTCTCGCTCATAGTCGAAGCGTGGCACGACACAAACGAGACTTCAAGATCTGATGGTGAGTTGCGTTATTTTATACGAATGCAGTTATGAGTAATGAAAATTTTTGGTAAAATTCAAAACACGTCCGTCACGACTCGCTCACATTCTGGTTTCACTGTAATTCTGGGTGTTTATCGTGCGTTTAACGGACAGTATGTATATTTGAATGCTTATATTATCATATCGTGGAAGACAAAAATTTTCCCATGGCATGGACGATTGGTGTTCTGAGCACGCGGCGCTGCGCGTGAGTCGCTTCGCAATGCACGCCGTATTCTAATAAACTCAGCCTTCTGTAGGACGAAAATTTAGTAGAAATGTTCTAATATATTCTGATGGCCGTTGACCGATAGACGAAAATACTAACGTATCATTCTCATCACCTTATGCACGAACCTGACATAATAATGAATTTCGAATTTTACGATTATCGTAAACACCATAACATACAACATATGCGGGCATACAATTTGATAACAATCATTTAGAGCAACCGAATAGATATAATCGATATTAAAGTTCGATGTTTCGTTTGACGATATCGCGCGCGGTATAATCGGCCAATATAGAATCGACAGGTTCACTGCGTACATGCGACATGGCGTGACCGAAAAACGGATCTCAATCGTAACCGCACTCCTTACAGTAAATACATCATCACAATAATTCGGTGCACGTATACCAAACATAAACGCAAATAAATAATAACCCTTCAAAAAACGAACGTTCCCTTTCAAGCATTCGATTTTCGAAAACAAAACCGGTGCACGTCGGGCCCTCCCCTTTCTTAATTAGATTTTCATCCTGTTGCACTCTGACCGAGATAATTACTACTCCTGACCGACTAACAAAAACAGTGATTTACTTAAAACAGATTTAGAGATATGGGAAGGTGTGTTCTATAGCCGGTTTACCGAAAATCATTAGCGTCCAATGCTTAAGAGGACGGGTATTTTTAATACGGCGCGGGAGCGATGGGCGGCGTCCACGCACTACCGAGAAATGTTACCAACAGAAATCTAATCAACCATAATAACAGGTTGCGTAGACGCCGTTTGTGTTCGGTTAATACTTAATTAAATCATAATCATTTTTTGTCTAGCAAACAGCTGCATTCCGATTTCCTTTGCGTTATTCGTTAGTCGATTACGATTTACTGCATTATCTCATTCGGGACGCAGAGTGTCTATACTCTATAACAACGCATACAGAATGCAATATATCATAGATAAACACGTATTGAAATCTGCGCTGAGAATAAAGAGAATTCTTGTTCTGAACAAACAGTGCGCGACAATGGGTGAGCTTGCAATTCTAACTCGCTCCTTCACCGAAATCTTTTGTTGCCCGCGGCCGCACCTGGACGCCAAGCCCCACATATTGTTTACCCGACACTAAAAAACTTAGCTCCGAGGAAGTGAATTTTAGTTTACACTTCATCTTTCGTCGTATGAAAAAATTACGGAAGGCACGCAGGCTCAATTTATGATAACAGGCGTTTTAAGGAAGTTAGGTGTCGACAGATGCAGCGCATGTGGGATAGGTGAGGAACAACCGTTTTGTTTTAGTCTGCTTATTGCACTGTCTCGATTTACACCTCCATATATGTGATACAAGAATGGGACCGTGTGAAAGACACCACTGATAACAGATAGGCAATTACCTTGTACCGGGCAGAGGCGCCGCGGGGCAGCTACCGTTTGTATTATGGATGCAGACATCACAACCACTTTGCAGTCGGGACAGATCGTAATAACAGTTTGTTTTGGATTATATTTATTAATTGCTAGTTTATGTTCGCAACTTCCACGACTCGGTATTAGAATTAATAAAACTTTGCTCCTCTTAATAAAATATTAAAAGGTTGTAGGTAAAAAATAATATTAAATCTCCGCGCGGAACATAAGCATGTTCTCTAATAACAATAGCAAATTAAAATAGTTATTGGCGAACTCCTTAACACGAACAACGTCAAGAGTCGAGTGCCTGTTGTTTATCGAGTCCAAGACGTGGCACTCAAATTGAAATACACGTTAGAAGTGGACAGTTTTATAAACAAAAGGAGTGCATCGTGTGTGCTCAGTCCATTCATGAGATGTTTCCCACAGCGCTCGAGGCCGGGCCGGTTAGGCGAGTGACCAAAGCGAGAAATCGAGACATCGACTACATATTACATCGAACGGTCCACGATTTCATTTTCATTTGTTCGCGATTAATTATCTCCGCGACGATTATAATGATCGAGAGCGCATCCGGTCGCCATTCGATCATCGCCGGAAGCTCGCGTGTTCCCTGCTTCCCCTAAAAATCGTATTCAATATTAAAATTCGAATCCGCTTCTGATCCGCTCAAATTATGAGTTGTTTCGCTTTCTTATATCTCGTTTTATTTGAATGACCTCTGGGTCTGTAATTATGCGCTATTGGAGGTGGCTGCACGTAGCCGGCTCCTTTTTTGAATGCCTTATTTATTTGTAAATTGGAACTACATTAATAGGCGATAGGGTAGACCTTCATTTAATATTGTTACGGGTGTGATTTAAAATGATGAGTGTAATTTGTGGCGTGCAGGTTTCTTTAGGGTTTCGTCTGTACAGAAATGTAGTCGCCTACAAATTGTTCACCGAGTCGATTTTATTATAAGGTTGTCACAAAATACAATTTCAGACATTTGCCACAAATGGCTTCAACAATGATAAAGTCCTCATTCTTCTTGCTTATAAGCGGATCGAGCTAAAAAGCTTGGCAATGTAGGGCTATAAAATCTCATATATCACGGAAAACACAGCCCTAGTAGAGGCGAGCCGGCAAGTGCACGGTTGCTATAATTCCTTGCACAGTCGAGCTAAATTGCTCGCGCTCCGTTCCCACACATCATTTTTCTAATTCTCTCAACCCTAAATTTTGTAGTTTCTGAGAAATATCATATCTCATAATTTATTTTATACAAGAATTAAATTTAGCTTCGCGAGTGCATCTTCGAACAGGCTAAAACTGACTTAAAACAAGATTAACGCTGTCTATTGGAATCGATTGCATTGGAATTTATTGATATTTATTGTATTTTCGCTGGCGCGAGTGGTAGGTTCGTTTTATCTTACAGATTTATTGCTGAGATAGCATCGGTGTAAGCTTGAATTGTGCGCTATGCGGAATCCCGAACTGCAATCGAGTTCTTCTACATTGCGTAAGGAATATACGTATTCCTCTCATAAACCATATTGCGTAGAATCTGTTCCGAACGCACGAATACAATAGATACTTTGACCGGTTATAATTTCGATTATATGTCAACAAAAGAATCCGATGCGAGATAACCCTCATCTCATTATGGTTCCCTTATCGCTGACACCTATAATACCAAAGAACAATCCCACCGAATGCCATACGCCACAAAATTAGACCGGATCGATCGTTTTATATACCTTTTAATTTTGTTTCGCGTCTGGTTTAATTTTATCTCCTGACGGGATTACCAGCTTAGGAATGTCGAGGCAAAAAGAATAAAAGAAATAAATAAGTCGGGAACTGGCCTGAGCTGAGATTTCCCATCGCACTTGATGAATGGATAGTGGCGCTTTTTAAATCAGAACATGCTTTTTCTCGCTTCTCATTACGTTGCGCTGGCGTCTAGTATGTAGTAACTAGTGTTATATAGCTAATACTCTAAATCAATCGTAACAAACCAAAACAGTGAATCACGCTTGGGAACAATGAAATCTCACGTTCAAATGCGGGCGTCAAACAGCCCACGTTAACAGGTCAATTTGCTACCATAACCCATTCCCACGGTGATAAAATTTTTCCTTATCAAAGAGATTCCTCACGAATTATCCTTAAGCGCTGTTATAAGAAAATTCTCGATTGTTTTCAGATACGCTTATCGCGCGGATGACGAAACAGAGTATAGCTGATGTCGGTGGCCCCTGGAGCGAGGAAGAACAAAGGTGGGGTGGTGCTGGGGGCGCTCACTTAAGGCTGTCTTACCGGGTGACCTGTGCCGCGCATTACTACGGGCCTGGCTGTGAAGTTCTTTGTCGGCCGAGAGATGATGGCTTCGGGCATTACACCTGCTCACCAACGGGAGAGATAGTTTGCAGGCCAGGATGGACTGGAGACTATTGCTCGAAACGTAAGTACAAGTAGTTTAATGACTCACGAAGAGTTAAAAAGAAAAACGAAGACGCTACACGTGTCCTTTAAACATGCCTTACTTGCGTGGGTGATTTGTAAACAAACTCGCGACTCTCAAAGCTATTTTTTGTGTTTGATTTATTATTCCGATAAAATTCAAAAGGAATGACTTCATTACCATACAAACCTTGTAAACTTGACTGACATAATATGTTAGTTAATAGTTACGCGTACCTACGCGACCCAATTTACAAAAATTCCCTCTTCCTCATTAAAACGGGTTGTGTGACAAATTTTTGAGGAACATCCTTTAATAAACTCAATTGAAGAGGCGACCTTTTGGATGCCAGCTTTCTAGACCGCGCCCATAGACTATAGAATGACTCATCCAGGTCAAGGGAGGTTCATTACCTCCCGTTATTACCTAGGAGTAATATAAAGCTTGGGACATTGACTAGAATATCTAAATATTCACGTTTCTTAGATGCATAACGGTATTACCTACGTCAATTAATTCTAAAAATCTAATAATTTTTATTACTTGAGAGGTCATGAAACTTTTAATTAAATAAAAAACTTTTTATTTCCTGCTTGGCGACTTTAATTTTATTACTAATTGTTTCATATTTTCACATGAAATAAAACGGTTATTAAATTTGATAAAAGTTGACTCACATCTCTCAAACTAGATTTTAACCATTAACTTTTATTGCATAATGTAAATGACCGAAAAGGTTCTAAATTTTTGGGCACCACAGACTGATCTTTAACTGAAAAATTAGATTTTTTTATAATTGTTATTCATAAAATGTTATTGTTTACAATACAATCGGTATGCCGTCAGGTATTGTCACATAGTTTACATGCGTGTGAACAGCGGTGTGGTCTGTTTACTTTTGAACGCCGGATTTGTAAACAAAAGCGAGAACTAAACCTTGCATTAGCGACATTTATCGGCCGCTTTTTATTAACACATCCTCTCCGATACTTTTGTTCACAAATTATCGAGATGTATGTTAATTAGATTTTACCGGTCCGTCGCAATTCCATTTAATCGAAGGTTTGTAATGCAAAAAGTCTAAACGTTTCAAACGTCATTACAGTGTTCTGACGTACATGTTAAACACATCGCGTCTTGTATTGTAAAACAAAGCGGTGTGTCTCAAGATGCATTGTGGCGGGCGGATGTCGCGTCGCAATCTCGGCAGCCCCACCTGCCGCCGCGTTCCCACACTCCGGCGCCGCAAAAAAACACGCCAGAGCGAGAGGAAACACTAGGCCGAGTGTAGCGCGTCCTCTCGCTCTCACGCCCGCCCTCCATACAGCCTCCACGCGACGTGATAACCGCGAAATCACAATTTTCTGGTAAAAGTAAATAGTTGAGGTCAAGAAATGTCGACTATTTCTCATTAGACTGCCTCACATAACTTCCAGAACAAAAAAGTGTAGACCGCCCTCAACGCAAAGTAAAAGGCCGGAGTGTATATTATAAAATAGCTCTATACACGCACACAACCGCCAACCGGGTCAAAACACCTTTAAACGAGAGCTGGTCGAAATAAACTCTGTACTTGACCGTGTCATGATATTGCTTCACATCTGCCGAACGGTATCTCGCCTTCTGGGAAAGCTTAACAATCCCGAAAACTGATTTGCATGTCTCGACAACATTATCTCGAGTCGATACTCCGGCCTAATGATAGGGTAAACATCGCGAGAGAAACCCTTACGGGCGCTTAATTTCGCCTAATTGTTAGCGAGAGTGCAGTTCTCACGAATATTACCTTCTGTGCAGTCGCGAATCTCACGACTCACGCGCACCTAATTTCCGTTTCGAATAGAAACAGATGTCTGCACAGTTAAATATTTGCTCGATCCCAAACACGTGCAGGAACCATCCTCGGGGAAGGTCGCTTTTTGTCTTCGGGATCGCATTTCCGAAAACTTTCTCAAACCGGGCTATGTTAACATCCGTTAGCACTAGAAATCGATATGAGTTCACTGCTGTATAATTAATAGCCCGAGCGAAGGACGCATAACCCTCCCCTATTCGTAATCATTCATAGAATTGATAGTATTTTTACGACTCCCGTTTTACCAAGCACTAAGATAACACAAGTGGGAGGTACATGAAGTGGATAGTGCAATGAGCAATGAGCACTTGAGTCTTTGATCCGTGTTGCGCCGACGCGTGGCGCCTACCTTTAATGTATCCTATTAACTCTACTTTAATAGCCTTAATAGCCACTCAAAATTCAGAAGCAATTGTTCCAGACATCACCGTTTCCAGTGAAAGTACAAATAACGTGAAAGCGATAATATTGTATTACAATCACCGTATCACAGCCGTACTAAATGAATTCAAACTTTGCCAATTTGGCGAGCGAACTGTAAGCGGATTTGTGAGTTTTAGGGGCTTTACTAGCTCCGAGTTTAAACCTACATTGCAGTCTGGGGAGCGCAGACTAATCTCTTATAATGCCCGCTACTGAAATCCTCTTGCTTCCTCGTTTAAATTGGAACTCGGATTACAGCTTTATATTTATTCAAATTGCAAACGTCTTATTTTCTAGTTAGGGGACTAGTAACGGTCGGATGACGGTTAGCTCCCCGCACTATCTGCCCCCTTTGTATTCGCTCCGATAACTTGCCCATGCGCACCCGACCGATACGACGCCGCACTTCTATTACAAAATATTGTAATGCGTACATTAACTCGCAACCTATTGTAATATATGTTTTCTTTTCAACTGATGCCGCAATGCACTCGCAGGTTTACAGAAATTCTTAATGCGGTTGAGCAAAGTGGAAAGGCTCGCATCTTGAACGTAAATCACACAGTTAACGATGCGCACATATTACGTTTGCAATGCATCATGTTAAAAAAATATTTTCTCCTTATTCTACGATTACGATAATACCCATACAAAATATCTTTTAAACTTATTGGCAATTAAGAATGTAATTTTCGCAAACCACTTTCAAAGTTCTTGCGTTAACCAATCGCCGTTAAGAGGAATTTCATATTGTTTGCGTGAGATAAATGATCACTGCATCTAGCCTTTTGTGACCTCTCGAAGTTTTGTCTTATGCACTTCTTTAATAATGCCATTATACTCCTTTCATTCTATGAACTTTTATAATGCAAACAAATATAATTTAACGTATACCAACCCTAAGTTAAACATTGAATCGTAAATGCTTTGTCTACATGAAGCGCTAACGAACCTGTTCCTTTTGTTACAGCGAGATGCTTGCCCGGCTGCGACGCGGAGCATGGCCACTGCCTCAAGCCTGACGAATGCATGTGAGTATCCACTTTACACCTTTGTGCTAAACGCTTAAACCATCCCCCCGACTCTTAAATCATTCATCCCACTCATTGTTCCGCGACACATGCTTCGCTCACTCGTTATCACATCGTATACTTTACTGACTAGTGATTGTTTTATTTCAGTTGTCATTCGGGCTGGGTGGGCGAATTCTGCGATCAGTGCGAGCGACATCCCGGATGCGTGCACGGCACCTGCTCCAAGCCCTGGGACTGCATCTGTGAGGAGGGTTGGGGCGGGCTCTTCTGCAATCAAGACCTTAACTATTGTACGAATCACCGGCCCTGCAGAAATGGAGGAACATGCCACAACACAGGACAAGGCAGCTACACTTGTGTTTGTCCACCTGAATATACAGGATCTGATTGCGAGAAGTCTTTACATTCTTGCGCGGTGAGATCCTGCCTCAACGGAGGGGCATGTGTGCCCGATGAGGGAGGAGAACTGTCTTGCGCTTGCCCGTCTGGTTACGAAGGAGCGCGCTGTGAAACGAGAAGACTGACCTGTGCCGACCAACCTTGCCGAAACGGTGGAACCTGTGAGCTGCGGCCTTCTGGGTACGTTTGCCAATGTCCATCTGGATACACGGGCCTCGATTGTGGCGTAGAAGCCGATCCATGTGCCGCCAACCCCTGTCGAAACGGTGCGACGTGTAATCGAGCTGGAGATGGGTTCCGGTGCTCGTGTAAACCCGGATTCAGAGGAAACAGATGCGAAATAGATATAGACGACTGTACCGGAATCATCTGCGAACACGGCGGCACTTGTGTGGATTTAGTCAACGGGCAAAGATGTCAGTGTGCACCAGGTTTCTTAGGACCTAGATGTGAGACTCGAGTGGACTTTTGCCTCGCGAAACCCTGCGCCAACGGCGGCGAATGTCTCGTGCTCGATAACGATTATGAATGCCGATGTCGTCCCGGCTTTGCCGGAAAAGACTGTAGCATAGACATAGATGAGTGCGCTTCTTCCCCATGCAGAAATGGTGGTACCTGTCGTGACAGAGTAGATGGCTACCACTGCAACTGCCCGCCTGGGTGGGGCGGGAAATCTTGCACTGTGTCACTGGCGGACTTTGCAGCCAAACCGGCCGGGGGTCACTTAAGAAGAGTGGGTGACGAAACTTTAGAGGAAGAAACTCTGTCTGGGAGTCACGTGGCGTTGATAGCGGCGCTGTCAGCAGCAGTGCCGGCAGCGGCTTTAGCCGCGGCTATCGCAGTAGCGTGTATCAGGAGACGGAGAAAACGCGCACAAAACGCGGCCGACGCAGAGGCGCGAGCCCAAAATACGGCGAACGCTGGTAACGGCGGTCGCGTTATTAGAAATACATGGGGGAAATGTGAGGGGCCAGTACCTGAGTGCCAGAATGCGCACAACGCTGCGGCGGAAGAGTGCAAGAGGAAGACACTCAACACGGAGAGCGCAGCGCGGCTGTTAGCCGCACTTGACCCGCGACTCTCGCGGCTCTCCGCCGACTCGGCGTATTGCGCTAATAGGTCAGTATCTTTACATTTTATTTATCGTTAAAGTGTAGGACATTCTTATTTAGCGATATATTGATGATGAAGATTAATTAGTAAAATAAATTAAAATATACAAAATAGTTTGTAATTCGACCTTATTTTAAAGTTCCCAAACTGACCTATCATATTGTTACAGCGATACGTCTCTGGTGAAGCGCGCGCTGGAAGGCGGAGGGGTGTACGTCCTGGACGAACACTGTCTGCCGCCGACGTTCGCGACGCAAGTGTAGTGCTAACTAAAGTGGACATTAACTTATTTATTGAAATCGGACGCTCGTGCGATCAAGGCTGTGCGCCGCGTGTACATATAGCGTTAAATGTAAAGTGACCCCTGTATAAACGGCTAGTTAAGTTCGGATGTATTTATTTTACGATCCTACGCCCTGTAAATAGTAATGGCGGAACGGATTGTTGCCCGTTAGCGGCGAGCGGCGCTGAGGCGCGGGACCGCGCGCGCCGCGGGCTGGTGGCAGCGACCACTGTTTGCGATCTCTGTAGGTAACGTGAACGCCGGCGGTTGGTCCGCCGCAAGGCGCCGCGTACGGACTGCACTCGCTACCCTTACCGGTGTCTGTCGATATATCTGCGATATATTCTTTTTTTTTACTGTTCTCTATTCTCTCGCTTCATCCCTGCCACCCCTCTCGGTGATAGGGACGAGACGACCTTTCGTGTTTACGTTCGGTAAGTTTTAATAGTAATGAGTGCAATGCGTACGATATTCACACTCCGCTGTCCCTTCTCTAGACTCGCACCAGTATAGAAACCAAACCGTGCGTTATTTTAGACAATTTTATGTAAACGCGAAACACGCGCTCTTTTTATATTGATTATGTGATTTTGACTAATTGTTGTCATTGTTCCTATGATTATGATATGTTTTAAAAATCTTGTTCAGGTTTTATTGAAAATCGACACAGATTTTTCTCACTTCAGTTGTACCTTATTTTTCGGAATTATAGGTCAAAACGTTCCTTTTATTCGAGCGCTATTTTCGCGCTCTCCAAGTAAATTTTTGACACTTAGAGGGCGCGATAGTCGCGTTCGAACCTCACAACAGCGCACGTATTTAGTCCATAGGTTTAAAATAATTTGAGTACTTATAAGAATGTCGAAACCTAAGTCATTGTGTATAAAAAAGTTATTAAGTTGTAGCTATTAAGTATATCTCCATTTTGTAAGAATACTGTGACAATATAATGATGTAATTAGGCAACATACGACCCAATATTGAAAGTTGTTAACTTATTTATTTATGGTACATCGCATGCGAGCCGAATCGATTATGTATCGTGTGAGCTTTTCATTTGCTTATAGAAAGTGCGTTCAGAAATGCACAGTCGATGCGGCTTCATGGGATAGTCTCGACTATAACAGAGCGTTGCTGTTGTTTTTTATTGATTCTACACTCGCATCCCATATTCCATTAGAATGTGCGATGGGCGTCACAGAATCGGCTAAATGTGAAAATAATTTATGTTAAATCACCGTTTTATAAAACTTTCTTGTAGATATTGTTTTGTACGATAGTTGTTACCTCTTATGTTGCCTTTTGTACTCGAGTGTAGATTTAATCAAGGTTAGAATCGACAAAATTGTAAAATTTATATCAAACTATGAATAGACTGATGATCAATAATAATGTTCTTGTATTTAATTTTGTAAGGTGACAAAATGTAATGATAAATTATGAGCAAATAAGCGCTGCTATATAATATACCTAGTGTACTTAAACATTGATTACAGTGAAAGACTTTCATTTTTCTTTTTTATCATTTTGTGTTAATTGATGAAATGACAGTATTTTAATTTATTTATTGGAACGGTTAAGATTATATTGATTTTCTAATTAATATCCATATATTTTTGATTATTTCCGATTGACTGACAGAAATGTCTCGTTGATTTTGGACCACATTTACTGAGTCATGAATGCATTTAAAATGTGAGTATACTGAAAGAATTTGAAAAATAATATCATTCCATTTCTCATTAGGGACTTCTAAATATATATCTTTTGTAATATTTTTTATAATTGTCTGTATTTTTCTAAGATTATTTTGCATGCAAATCTCGTGATTCACGATTATTGTAATCCTTTATTTTTCTAAGTTTAGGTGAAGTACAATAAATTATTCTATTTTCTTCAACTTTTAGTATATTCATGTTTTTTGTTGTTTTCGAAAGAAAAATGAAAGCATGTAGAAGATGAGAAGTAACAAATAATTCCATAAATAGATCCTATCACAATAAAGTCATATTATTGTAATGCTAATTACGGTGATATTTTTTGCCAGCGAGTGTAAGTGACGAATGTGTATTATTATGTGCAGTGATGCAACGAGAAATAAAATGTTAATAAACAATTGTTTACAAAAGAGTAATGTATTTTATTTTACTAACCTCCCAATACTGTTTTTAATGTCATACATAACGTATCAAAATTAGACTGAATATCACAAGATAGAGTACTTGGTTTAGAAGGAAAAACGATACTTTAAAATCGAGTAAAAATTTACAGAGATACACAGGAACTGTTACACAAGTCAGTTTATATGCTAATCTAAAGTCTTTGTCTCACATTTTTATACAACACTAGAAAAAAAAAACAAATCAAAACATGCCATGTGACTTGATTTTTTCCCAGTGCAATAATTATCGGATTGTTCGATGACGTGAACAACATGCACAATCATCCCTCTTTAGTCTTAATCGCGCCATCTAGTTGTTGCTTTCGATATTCGCTCACACTGAACTTTACAGAAAAACTAAACTTGTTTTGTTTATTAAATTTTTTTTTTGTTTCAGATGTTTTATAAAAAAGGGCTGTGAAGCCTGTCCTGTATGTAAAAATCTAATAATAATAATATCTATTCGCCGATGCCATATTAACATAATCGAGTCGGTTTAAATAAAAACCCTGTACCTATTAGGTCCATGAGAAAAAGTTACAAAACCTTACCACACACCACAATAGACTTACTTAGAATTTTAAAATAAAGATACTTGTTCACCGAAGGTAGATTGCGGATCAGCTGTTTTTGTATAAAGCTATCATAACTTGTATAATTTTCTGGAAATTCTACCTGTGCGTTCCTAGAGCTAATTCACGTTATAGAATACTGTTTGTTAAGGGTTCTAGAACTAATCGGGCCTATAACAGGATGACTTGTAGAGTATGTCGAGTGCACAACAGACTTCGTGTTTCGTTCGTTAAAGTGAGTCAGTGACTTGGTCATTCAAGGTTCGGCTGCAGAGATTCGGTCGGTGCCAGAGACCGCGGAGACTTTATGTGGCTTATTAAGCGCAAGCTGTGTCACCTGTATTTGGGTCTGCACCTATATCATCTTTTAGGACCTATGTATAGATATATATGTTAAGCTGCAAATCTGTCGGCTGACCTACGTTAAATAAATAATAAGCATTTGGCATACTTAGCGCTAAGTTTCGTATTTGAATCTTAACCTTAAAATTTGTGAATGTAGACGGCTTAAAATAACTGTTCCATTGCTAAGAAGTTGTATAGTTAATAGACCCCATTAAGACTAACTTAACATAATTAAAATTAACAGTTCAAGTACATCCTACATTTCTGATAAAATTAAGATTATAAAAACCTCGTAGCTGTCGAATGTAACAATTTAGCTTTAATACCTGAAATTTTCTAATTTTATAATCCTAACAGGAAACTGTCTGAAAGTAGTAGAAACTAGAACCCCTATGTTAAGTGCGGTACGGATAAGAGACAGCTATTGGTTGCTTTAATCGCAGTCAGTAATCAGTCCCTATGAAGAACTTCTTACAATGAACTAAGACGATATAATGTTATTTTTATATTTGGATTCATGTTAATTTTAAATTAACTTTAAGGCTTAGCGTAAAATCCTTTTAAAATAAATGTAGATTTCACAACTTTCGGCTCTAAGGCATATGTTGTCAACTTTTTTGGGTCGTATCAGAACTTTATTAGAAAATTTGGGGATATAGTTTAATAGCCAATAGTAAACTAAATAGTTTATATATATATATATATATATATATATATGTAAAGAGAATGATCTCTTTAATTTGAATATTCGCGCGCACTGCTAGTTCGTGTTAAAACTGTTTTTCTAGGCATAACAATAGATAGTAAACTCCAATGGGGCCCACACATAGAGACTCTTTCGAATAGGCTGAGCTCTGCAGCATATGCAGTAAAGAAAATCCGACAGTTTACTGATGAGGACACGGCTAAAATTGTGTACCATAGCTACTTTCATAGCGTTATGTCGTACGGCATTTTACTGTGGGGTGCTGCTGCAGAGGTTCAATCCATATTTGTGCTGCAGAAGCGGGCTGTTCGGGGTATTTGTTGTGTTTCTCCGAGGGAGTCGGTACGGAATAAGTTTAAGGAATTAAATATTATGACACTATCTGGTCAATATATTCTTGAAGCCTTATTGTATGTCCAAAAAAATATAAAATATTTTAAAACAAATGGTGACTTTCACCAGTATAATACGCGAAATAGAACTAATTTGAGTGTACGACCAACCAGGCTCCAAAAGATAAACCACTCCTTATATGGAAATTGTATTCGTTTTTACAACAAGCTCCCAAGCGAAATTAGAGAATTATCACTAAATAAATTCAAAGCCCTCGTTAAACGAAAATTAATCAACAAAGCTTTTTATAAATTTGAGGACTACTTAAATGATCCTAATCCTTGGGATTGAATTGCTCCAGTTCAAACAATTTGTATGACAATACTTGGCGATTAAAAAGAGTGGCGGAAAGTTTCTTGCCAGTTCTTCTTACCCGCTCTACGCCCTTGACTTGCGAACTGGTAGTAAATGTAAATTTACGATTAATTTAACTTGACGATTCAAAAGTGTACTTGGTTACCTACTTGAATAAAGATATTTTGAGTTTGAGTTCGTGAGTGAGCCGCGTCGTGTCACGTCAAGCTAGCTGACATTGTCAAAGACGTAAAGGGCAAATATGCTGAGATTGTTGAATTGTATTTTAATCTTATTTGTAAATTAATTTAATACTTAGTTAAGCTATATGCATCGAGAGGTGATAACAATGAACTTTTATTGTCGTTTCTTTATTTACAGGTAAGATTGTGTTAGTCTTGTAAGGATTGTATCAGTGTGTAATAGACCACAAGCCCATGAACAAAAAATACCTGTGAAATGACCCAACCTGAATTACGCTTAGAAGGCTGTTACTATATCTGAAAATA